GAGACGGAGGAGGAGGAGGCGGAGAAGGAGGAGGGCGGAGGAGGAGGAGGCGGAGGAGGAGGAGAAGTTGGAGGAGGCGGAGGAGGAGGCGGAGGAGGAGGGCGGAGGGCGAAGGAGGAGGAGAGCGGAGGAGAAGGAGAAGGAGGAGGAGGAGGAGGAGGCGCAGGAGGAGGAGGAGGAGGAGGAGGAGGAGGAGGAGGAGAGGGCGGAGGAGGAGGAGGAGGGGCGGAGGAGGAGGAATAGGAGGAGGCGGAGGAGGGGGAGGAGGAGGAGGAGGGGGGACGAGGAGGAGGAGAATGAGAGGAGGAGGAGGGGAGGAGGAGGGCTGAGGAGGAGGAGGAGGAGGCGAAGGAGGAGGAGGAGGAGGATACAGCGGTGTTCCCTGCAGCGCCTTGCAAGAACTCAGTATGCCGCTCCTCCGATGCCGCGCGTCCCGCGGTGTGTTCTCCCTCGCCCAAATCTCGTCGGAGGCGGGACCGCGCGCGGGCGCCCGGCAAAGAAACGCGGGCAAGGCGAGGGACAGAGACCTCCTCCTCCTCCTCCTCCTCCTCTCCTCCTCCTCCTCCTCCTGCTCCTGCTCCTCCTCCTCCTCCTCCTCCTCCTCCTCCTGCTCCTGCTCCTACTCCTCCTCCTCCTCCTTCTCTTCCTCCTCCTTCGTGCTCCCGTCCTCGCCATGCCTTTCCTTCTTGCTTCCCGTCCTCGCCGCGCCAGCTGGGCGGGCCGGGCATCTCGCCCGAGACTCCCCCTCCGCTTAAAGTGGGGGCCCGACCACAAGAAACTTTCCACAAGAAACCCCAACCCTGAGACCCCAGGAAGTCCAGTGATTTTTGGCGCGAAAACATCGAAGCCCAAGAAACCCAGGGCACCCTGGAGGCACGCAGGGTGTTTCCTGGCATGGGCCCCAACTGTAAGTGTCATACTTTGGAAGGGAGGATGGGAATGGGCAGGACCGTCCAACTCGTTCGACCTGGCCGACTTGACACCGACTTCCACGCATACCAGCTCACTCCTCATCCCTCTTCCTTCTTTCTCCTCCTCCTCCTCCTCCTGACAGGGATGGGGGAGAAGGAGGGACAGGACCAAAGAGAACCATGAATGCATCAACGGTGCTGCAATACGTCCTCCCGCCCCAGGTCCCCTCCACACAAGCTCCCGCAAGTCTCCATGAGACCCCCCGCGTGTCGACGCGGACCCCACCGTGTCGTGCGCAGTCGGAATGAGGGAGCTGCGTGCAGGGAAGGCAGGGAGGGGGAGGGAGGAGGGAGGAGGGAGGAGGGAGGAGGGAGGAGGGAGGAGGAGGGGGAGGGGAGGGGAGGGGGGGGGGGGGGGAGGGGGGGGGAGGGAGGGGAGGGGGGAGGGGAAGGGAGGGAGGAGGAGGGGGGAGGGAGCCCAGGGGGAGAGGGGGGAGCAGGGAGAGCTCCCGCCCTCCGCCCGAGGGCCCCCCCGGGCCCCCGCCAGCCAGGCGGCCTCGCGCGGCGGGTCCGGGGCCGGACGGCGGCGGGCGGGCGAGGGGGGGGAGGCGGGCGGCGGGCAGAGCAGAGCACAGTCATCGGCCTGACCCAAGGAACGGTACACAAGGAAGGGAGCCCCTTTTTTATCCCAGGGAATAACGCATAGGAACGATAAAGAATAGATGGCGCACAAGGAGCGGTAAATGACGCATGTAGAACCTAAGGAACGACCGAGCCCCTTTTGACAAGTAAGTGCTCCTTATTCAAGCCGCTCACTGTAGACCCCGCACGGCCACAAGGCCGGTCCTGCACAGGACACGGGGGGAAAATAGTACGCACAGGCATCCTGCAGCACACAGACACACCCACAGCACACGCACCACACCTCAGCACAGAACAGCACAACACAATCAACAGCACAACAAAACACACACACACACACACACACAACACACACACACAACACAACACAACACAACAAGACGCAGCACCACAACACACCCACACACGCGCGCGCGCGCGCGAATGCCGTCACTCAGATGCCGTCCGTCCACCGGCACGCGGGCGGCGGGCAGTTCACCTCAGCTCTCAAGCCCTTCGAGACAGACTGCTTCAAGAGAGGCCCCGAGAGGCCCCCAGGAGGCCCCAAAACGGCCCCCGAGAGGCCCCCCACGAGGTTCCAGCGAACATCCACCAGGCTTATGACCCACAACCCAGGCACGGTGGCGGGACTCGCCGGGACAGCTGAATCCGCCGCCCCCTGTTGATTCATCACAGGGGTGCCTGGCGTGCTAAACCCTCTCGGTTTTGGTTCTGGTTCTTTTTCCAAAAGAACTCCCCCAGGGGCCCTGGCGCGTCCCGCCGGGGTCCCGGGACGCTTGCCCAGAGGTGGCTGCAAAGCCCCCAAAACGGCCGTTTCGCTCGGGACATCCTCAGACAATCACGAAGATGGCCCAAGATGGCCTGCAAGATGCCTCCAAGACAACCAAGATGGCCTCCAAGACGGCTGAGATGGCCCCAAGATGCATCCAAGACGGCCCAAGATGGCCTCAATATGGTCTAAGACGGCCCAGAAGGCCCGCAACAGGCCTCCAAGACGGCCCAAGAGGCCTCCAAGAGGTCCTCCAGGAAGGCCAGCAGAGGCCAAAATCCTTGATGTTCCTTAGGTTTTGAAGGCTTTTGGCATTTGCGCCTTTTCGGCTTTCCGACGGCCCAAGACTGCCCAAGAGGCCCCCAAGGTCGCCCCAAGATCGCTCAAGAGGCCTCCAGATGGCCCCGTGACAGCCCAAGAGGCCCCCAAGACGGCCCCAGGAGGGCGCCAAGACGGCCCAAGAGGCCTCGAAGACGCCCAAGATGGCCAATTCGCCGGCCCAACGGGCCAGGGCGTGCTAAGATCTCCGGTAACTGGTTAACAGTATTAACAGTATTTCTAGTTCGCGCGCGCGGGGCGGCCCCTGGGGGTCCCCCGGCGAAAAGTACCCCGACCGCCGCCCGACCAAGTCTACTCAGAGATGGTTTTCCTTCTGGGTGCGGCCTCTCAGGCTCCCCAGAGCGCGCTCAGAGTGCCCCAAGAGGCCCCCAAGACTGCCCAAGAGGCCCCCGAGACGCCCAAAGAGCGCTCGAAGACGCCGAAGATGACCCCAAGACGGCCCAAAAGGCCCCCAAGACAGCCCAAGAGGCCTCCAAGACGCCCCAAGAGCCTTCCAAGAGGCCTCCGAAGAGAGCCCCAAGAGGCCAAAATCGTTGATGTTCATTGTTTTTTTCGATGTTTTTTGTGTTCTGTTTTTTTCGGCTTCCGGACGCTCCAAGACGGCCCAAGAGGCCCCCAAGACCGCTCCAAGACGGCCCACGAAGCTCCCAAGACGGCGCCGAAACGACCCAAGAGAGCCCTCAAGACGGCCCAAGTGCCGCCCAAGACGGACCAAGAGGCCCCAAGACGGGCCCAAGAGGGACTCAGGAGGGATACCGAGAACTCAAAAATGGAGCCCTCCGTCCCAGAAGGCGCCCAGGAGGTCCCAAAGAGGCCCCAAGAGGCCTCCAAGAGGCCCCAAGATGTCGCCAAGAGGCCCCAGGAGACTCCCAGGAGGCCCAAAAGAAGCCCCAGAAGGCTTCAAACATGTCTCCCAGGCGCCCCCGAACGGCCTCTCAACAGACCCCAAGAGGCCCCCCAAAGAAGCATCTTGACGACGACTCTATTTCGCCCCATCGAGAGACGACCCCCAGGGAACTGCTTCACCATCAAAACTCCCCACGCAACGCGTCCGAACGACACCCGCCCCCAAGAGCGCAACATGGGCAACGAACACACAGACAAAAACCAGCGATGCCATATCACGGGCCGGCGGAATGAGCGAAGCGATTCAATAAGACAGCCCTGGAACACCCCAAAAGGGCCCCAAGTCGGCCCAGAAAGGCCCCCGAAACGGCTTCCGACGGCGTCAGACGGGCCAGGAGCCCACCAAGATGGCCGAAGGTGGCTCGCGGCTGGCCCAAGACGGCCCAAGAGGCCTCCAAGAGGGCCTCCAGGAAGGCCAGAAAAGGCCAAAAATAATGATTTTCTGTAGGATTGTGAAGGATTTTGACATTTGCTTCGTTTCGGCCTTCCGACGGCCCGATACGGCCCAGGAGCTCCCAGAGATCGCCCAAGGATCGCCCAAGAGGCCTCCAAGATAGCCCCAGAACGGCCCAAGAGGCGCCCAAGACGGCCCCAAAAGGCCCCCAAGACGGCCCAAGAGGCCTCCAAGACGCTCAAAATGACCTCCAAGACGGCTCACGAGCCCTCCAAGACGTCCTCCAAGAAGGCCCGAAATGGTCAAAATGACCTCCAGGCGGCCAAGATGACCTTCAAGATGCCCACGTGTTCCCCGAAGGCTTGCCAAACCGATTCGGGGAACACATGGTCCGATAATTTGGCAGGTCTGGCCTCAACGTTCGGCCACATAGGCGCTTCCACATAGGCAGGGGGCGGCGGTGATTCGCCGTAGGCGTCTTCGATATGGACAAGAAACTGTAGCTCGGGCTGTGGCTGTGGGGCGTGAAAGATACTGCTTGACCCGCTGTCGCCAATGCGCCTACAGGCAACCATGCTGCTACAACGCAAAACGCCTGACACATGGATTTCAAAGAGATGAAAGGAGGGCAGGAGGAAGAGGAGGAGGAGGAGGAGGAGGAAGAGGAGGAGGAGGAGGAGGAGGAAGGGGAGGAGGAGGAGGAGGAGGAGGAGGAGGAGGAGGAGGAGGAGGAGGAGGAGGAGGAGGAGGAGGAAGAGTGAGGGTCAACGGTAGCTTGGGGAGCCAGCTCCGGGGGGGATGGGCGATTGAGGGCCTTCCCCCATGGAGCACATGCTATATTGTCCGCGATAACGCCCGTGACCAGCCCTGCCCCCTCCTACCCCCCCTCCCTGGCGCCCCCCCCCCCCGACGCGTCGCTCCTGGGAGAAGGAAACCTCGAGAGGGGCCACGCCGGAGCCGAGGCCGGGAGGGCTCACACGCACACGCGGCCGGGAGAGCTGCCCGGAGAGCGGTCCCCACCGCGACCGGGCGGCCCCACCTCGAAGACGTCGCCCCCTGCTGGATGCTCACGAGGGTCAGGCCGACCTGAACGCCCCGGGGCCGCAGGGCAGGAAGACTGGCCCGGCAGCACGCGTGGGTCATGCAGCCGCGGACAGGGGCCCTCCTCGTCCCCGTCCAGCCTCCTCGCCCCACAGCCTCCTCCCACTCCTCTCCGAGCCTCCTCCTCCTCCTCCTCCTCCTCCTCCTCCTCCGCCTCCTCCTCCTCCTCCCACCACCCCCTCCTCTGTGCCGTGACCGTCTTGGCTCAAGAGCCACGCTGGCTCGGGCGGCTGGGGCGAGCGCCTCCGTGGTGTCCCGAGCGATGTGTGCACCGGAGAAGCCGTGGGGCAAGAGCGGCCGAGCGGCCAGCAGCCGCGGCACCCCAGGGCTTCGGTTGACCCGCAAGGGGGTCCAGCTGAAATAGACGAGCGCGTTCCACTACGCGCAAAGTTACTACTTGCAAATGGTCTGGATCCGCCGCGGGGGATCTACGATACATTACATCAAAGCAGACATATGTTTTCCGGACGTTTGCGAGCAGGCACTTTGCGAGTAGTGGAACGCGATCGGTGATGAAATGGGGCGGTGCAATAGATTTTGGGCAACCGAATTGAACTGCACTGCAGAATGTGCTGCGCCAGAGAGCTGTGTTGCCTCGTAGTGCAACCAATGCACTGCACATGGAGACCCTGCAAGGCATCTGCGCACCGGAGTGTGCCGCACGCCCCGGATCGACTGCAACCCCGAACGCATCTATTGCACCAGACCTGTTACACCCCCCCTTGTCGCTGGACTCTCTTTTCTGAGCATTTTCTTAAGGTGGGGGACTCAGGGTGAAATCCGTAAGGTCTTTTGCACCTCGAAAACCAATCCGTCTTGTGATTCACCTTTTCCAGATTCACGCCTCGAACATCCATCGAAACGGCATTTCCGATTTCACCCTTTGCCCTCCACCCAAAGAAAATGCTCGGCTTTTTGGGGGTGATCAACCAGAAGGGGTGCCGCACCGCCTGCAGTGCCACGTCGGGGCATGCCTCGCGGCGGCCTGCGGCCTCATCAAGGCGAGGACGACATCATTGGCTCCCTCCGGCAGCACCGCGGCGGCGCGATGCCACTCCTCATCGGCGACGGCCATCGTTCCAGTCTTCATCAGCGAAGGTGCGAGAAAATGCGCGAGGACGCCGACGAGCCCGTGACCAGGGCCGCGAGCACGGCCTTGGATCGGGGGGGGCGAGAGGCTAGGACAGCAGAGGGCAGGGTAGAGAATCCGCTCACGTAGCTGGTCTTCCTGGCGCCTCCTGGCGCCGGGAGGCGCCCAGGTCTCGAGGCGTGGCCCGGCGGCGGGGCGGGAACCAGCTGCATGTAGCAGAGCTCGTAACCCCCCCCCTTCCCCCCCCCGCCCCTTCGCGCGGCCCGAGCGGAGGAGACGTGCTCCAGCGAAGCAGGCGATGCGGAGCAGAGCCGGGATCCTCCCCGAGCGCGGGAGCTGGCGGAAGGGCGCTGGCATCGCCGCTGCCGGGTCCCTCCGGCAGCGGAGCCCCTGGGCCTCCAGCAATGGGGGGGGGGCAGCTCGCGCAGGAGGCGGCGCAGAGCTCTGCCGCCCGCGGAGCCGAGGAGCAAGCACCGTGGAGGAGTGCAGCCTCGGAGGGGCGAAGTGCAGAGCTCCGACATCGCGGCGTGGCGCGCGAGCGAGGGCCACGACGAGGCCCCCCCCCCCTGGGCACCAGGAGCAGCGGCGGGCACCCGCTCTGCGCCCACGCGGAGGTGCGACGAGGGTTAGACTGCTCCCATCGTGCTCGAGGGCTGCATCCCAAGGAAGCATTTCGAGCACCCGAGAAGGTGTCGAAAGAGCGTCGACACGGCGCCGAAGCAGTGTCGGACGAGTGTCCCCCAGGGCCCGACGCGTGAAAGCCCTCGAGCTGTTGGGTACTTTTCTGGTGCTCGAAATTAGTTCTGGTGATCAAGGCTGAAGTAGGTTGGAACATCATAAGATGAGGGCAGGACCAACCAGAGGGCGAATTGGGAAAATCGGATCGAATCGGAGCGTGCGTCGGATCGGGCCGCATCCGCGCGGAGTCAAATTCGAATCGGACCGGCCGCGCCAGGATATCTACAGCGGAGGCCAGTCCACAAGAAACCTTCCACGAGAAACCCAACCCTGAGACCCCAGGACGTCCACGGATGTCTGGTGCGGGAGCGTCGCGCTTCCCATAGCGAAGCCATCGAGGCCCAAGAAACCCGGGGCACCCTGGAGGCAAGCAGGGCGCTTCTCGGACTGGGTCTCCACCGCAAGCATCGGGCAGCAGCGCAGCGTCGGAATGTCGGAATCAAATCGGGCCAGCCGGCAGCGACATCACATGGCAATTTGTAATACATGGGATGTTTAAAAACATTGGATCTTTTAATACATGATTAATTTAGGAATATATGTATGCATGAACTCATCGTTGTTTTTAGTACTAAATCCTTGCATTTTAGTACATGATCCGCACGCGGAGCATGTATTAAAAACGGCACTGTATCGGATGGGAGCGATCGGGTCGGAGCGGACCGTGCCAGGGGTGCCGAGGTCCTCGGCTCCGAGGCCGGGCAGGGCTGCAAAAGCAGGCGACGGCGCAGAGCTGCGTCGAGAGAGACGCCGAGAGCGGCCGCGAGGGGAGGAGGAGGAGGAGGAGGAGGAGGAGGAGGAGGAGGAGGAGGAGGAGGAGGAGGAGGAGGAGGAGGAGGAGGAGGAGGAGGAGGAGGAGGAGGGAGGAGGAGGAGGAGGAGGAGGAGGAGGAGGAGGAGGAGGGGGAGGAGCACGGACCTCAAGAGTGGAGCACAGGCAACGACGGCATCCAGACCGAGTGTGGGAACGTGCTGGCCGCGACGGGCATCCAGAGCACTCACGCAGCAAAGGAAACGGCGGGAGTGACGGCGACGGCTCGGCGGCCGAGCAGGGGCACCGAGCAGAAGAAGATGGCGCGGAGCTTCGTCGAGCGCGGGGCAGAGAGCACGGCCGCCATCGCCCTCGGCAAGTGTGGGCCTGAGACCCTTGCCGTCGCTCGGACGTCCACTTCCCGTGCATTTGTCGGTTTCGTGCGTGTTTTTGTTGCTCGATGGTCCAGGATGGTCCTCGAGGGCTCTCGCCGAGAAAAAATGCACACGGACCAGGCCTGCGCGGGCATGGGCCAGGAACGCCCGCCGCGCTGCTGCTGCTGCTGCGTGCCCGATGGCGGCGCGGTGCGCGTCACCACGCGGAGCAAGGCGGGCCACGGGGAGGGCTGGAGCTCGACGCTCCAGTGCGGCCCCGTGCCTGCTGCGCCTGGGGGCGCTGCGCCGGGGCGCCGTCGAGCCGTGGCATGTCGACGTGAGCACGACGGCGCCCGACGGGCACGACGAGCGGGACGCGCGAGCCGGCCAGGGATCCCGAGAGGGCTACCGAAGAGCTCGAGCAGGCCCCGATGAGGCCGAGGAGCTCTGGGAGCCCATGTCGGGAGCTCGTGGCTGCTTGCCGACGTGCACCCAATCAAGGTTCCACCGCAGCATCACCCGAAGCTTGCCACCGAGAGTGCGCCCTATGCAGGCGCAGAGGGGGGCGCAGAAAGAGAGACAGAGAAAGAGAGAGAGAGAGAGAAAGAAAGAGAGAGAGAGAGAGAAAGAGCAGAGGGGGATAAAAAGATACTGCTACCACTGCTCCTCGGGCATCTCCTGAGGTGCGTTCTGACCACGGTTCCGCTGCGAATCTGCCTTGCTGGCCGAGGCCACCGCGCGAGCACCCAAATGCTTGCACTCCAGTGTGCACCTTTCCCTCCCCCTCCTCACACTCTCGTCTCCGCTTTGCCGAGTGGGGCTGCTCAGAATGAATATTTCTGTGCTGCTGTGTCCTGTGGTGTGTTGACCCGCACGAATTCCGCTTCACCTGAGGCCCGCTGGTGATTCACATGCGCGCCCCCGGCAGTGTCTCACTGCATTGCCTGATCCTCTCCTCCCCACGTCCTTCCTCTCTGCGGCTCCTCCTCATTCCGCACCTCGTGAGCCTCCCGCGCTCACTCCACCTCCCTCACCTCCCCCTCCTCATCAGCATCCTCGCCCCTCCTCCTCCTCCTCCTCCTCCTCCTCCTCCTCCTCCTCCGCATATGCGTCTCCACGTCCGTCGCTTCCGCACCCTCCTCGTCCCACTCCTCCTCATTGTTCTCCTCGTCCCACTCCATCATCTCCTTCGCTTCATCAACATCATCATCTTAATTATCAGCAGCAGCATCATCTTCACCATCATCAGCATCATCATAGGCATCAGCATCATGAACATCAGCATCAGCATGATCAGCATCATCATCATCATCATCATCATCATCATCATCATTATCAGTAACAGCATCATCATCATCGTCATCAGCATCATCATCATCATTATCAGCATCATCATCGTCATCAGCATCATCATACTAATCAGCATCATCGTCATCATCATCATCATCATCATCATCATCATCAGTATCAGCGTCATCATAATCATCAACATCATCAGAATAATCACCATCACCATAATCATCAGCATCATGATCATCCTCCTCAACCTCCTCATCCGATCATCATCAGCATCATCAGCATCAGTATCAGCACCAGTATCATCATGATCATCATCATTATCAGTGTCAGACTCATAATAATCGTCATCGTCATCATCAGCATCAGCATCATCATCGTCATCATCATCATCATCATCATCATCATCATCAGCATCATCATTGTCGTCGCCAACATCATCAGCGCCATCGTCATCATCGTCATCAGCATCATTAGCATCATCGTCATTGTCTGTATCATCGTCACCAGCATCATCATCCTCGTTTTCCTCGCCTTCCTCCTCCTCCTCCTCCTCATCATCTTCACCTGAAGCATCATCAGTATCAGCAGCATCAGCATCAGCATCATCTCGATCATCATGTCGTCATTACGATCATCGTTATCATCATCATCTTCGTCATCATAATCATCATAATCATCATCATCATCATCACCATCAGCAGCAGCATCATCATCAGCATCAGCATCATCATCAGTATCCTCAGCATGTTCATCATCATCGTCATTGTCATCGTCATCGTCAGCATCATCATCATCATCGTCGTCGTCATCATCGTCATCGTTTGCATCATCGTCATCACCATCACCACCATGAATGATCGCCCCGATCATAGTCGTCATCACCGCCATCATCATGATCATCATCAACATCATCACCACAATAACCATCATCAATAGTGTCATCGTCACCGGCACCACCATCCTCATCGGCACTAGCATCATCATAATCACCAACGCCATCATTATGGATCATCACCGTCATCGCGAGCATCACCGTGGTCGACAACAGCATCATCAACATCATAACCCCCAGCAGCGTAATCATCATCGTCATGATCAGCAGAGCATCATCGTCGTCAGCATCCTCGTCGTCATCACCATCATCAGCATCATCATCAAAGTCAGCATCCTCATCAGCAGCATTATCATAAGCATCTTCAGCATCGTCTTCGTCATCATCATCATCATTATCAACAGCACCATCATCATCCTCAAAATATCATCATCAGCAGCAGCATCAAGACGATCATCATCACCAGCATCATCACCACCACAACCATTACAGCCACGGCAAACATCCTCACCGACACCGCCATATCTGTACGTCACCGGTCGTGAACAGCTTCGACGCCCTCCCACCCCTCCTCCCCGCCGCCCTCCCAAAGAGCTCTCTCCACATGACGCCGACCGAATCGCCACGCCAGAGCCCGCCGCCAGCCAGGAGCGGCGCCCGTGGCCGGGCACGAGGCCCGCGTGATGGACGAGCCTACCCTCTCTGGCTCCTCCCTCGGGCGCCCTGGAAGAGGCTCGACGTGTGCACCTGACGAGCGTCCCCATTCGCCTAGTTCCGTGGCTCCTTGGCCGACCAAGCAGCGCGTTGCACGCACCGAACCCCTCCGACGACTCGAACGCGTTAGCGCCCCTAGATCCCCCCAGAACCTGTTCGCGCCACCGAGACACCGAGACGCTGCAAAAACGTCCTATCCCCTCATCCTCCCCTCCTCATCCAGTCTCTCCCTCACCTCCCTCCCCTGTCCTCCTCCCCCCATCAACCTCCCTCTTTCCATCCATGCCTCGCCACTCCCCCTGCTCCTCTGTTGTGGGGTGCTGCTGAGACCTGGACAGCACATCGGCGATGCCATCATACTCCGACAGGGACACAGCTTAGAGGGGGAAAGGGGGGACGAGGAGGAGGAGGAGGAGGAGCAGGAGGAGGAACACGGGGAAAGGGGAGGGGCGGGAAGAGAGCGCCCCCCCCCCTCCCCCTCCCCCTCCCCCTGCCCCTCCCCCCCCGCACCTCATCCCTCCAGAACTACTCAATATGAATACTACTCTCCTCCTTCCCCTGATGACGGGTTGGGAGTGTTCGCCCCCCCGCCGCGTACTGTTTTTTTCTTACACGCAAGATTCCCCGTAGTTGGGTTTTCGCCTGCACTGTTTTTCCAAAAACTGCTCTCGCTGCAGCGCTGGCCTCATTTTCGGGCCCCGCTCGTTCCGAATCGTGTTCCCGCTGCAGCGCTGGCCTCATTTCCGTGCTTCCGCTCGTTCCGAATCGTGCTCCCGCTGCAGCGCTGGCCTCATTTCCGCGCCCCCGCTCGTTCCGAATCGTGCTCCCGCTGCAGCGCTGGCGTCATTTCCCGTGACATGCCACGGCATGCAATGTAATGCTAGGTTGCGTTCCGCTGCGCGATGCCATGCCTTCAGCTGAAGCTGTGATATTTATGTTATGCCATGCTACGCTTTGATCTTCAACGCCATGCTATGCAATGTTATGTTCGGGGCCGCTGTGCGATGCCATGCTTGGCGCTGCAAAGCTTAATGCTGCAATTCTTCACTACGCCACGCCACGCCAAGCTGTGACATACTACGTTTTGCGGTGTTCTTCTACGCCATGCCACGCCGAGCTCTACAATGCATCGCGTACCCTTTCGGGATCATTGCCCAACTCGACATGCGACTGTGCGAGTAGAGAAGGGATCTACGCCATGGTAAAGGATGGGAGGGAGGGGTAGGATGTCAGATATGACGCGACCGCACCTAGCTTGACACACTTCCTCCCCTGCCCCCCCGCTACCCGCCCACCCCCCGCGCGCGCGCCCGCCGAGCCACCCCCCGCGCCTGCGGCCCCCGCGAGGCCGCCGTGGCCCCAGCCGCCGCCGCGCCAGCACGCCGCGCGCCGCGCGCCGCCCGCGCGCGCCCCTCCGGCCCGGGAGAGGGCGCCCGCTCGCCCCCGCGCAGGGGGGGCGCCGAGAGGGGCGGGCGGGGCCTGGATGGGCGCGTAGGTCTCCGCGATGCGGCAGAGCTTGTCCAGGCGCTCCTCTCGCGGGGTGCTCCGGGGACGGGAGAGGAGAAAGCGGACTCTCCAAGTTTCTCGATATAAGCGTGGGTGGGGGGGGATCGCGGGGGGGGGGATGGGAAACCGCTGTCCTTCGGGGGGCGCGGGGAAATCTTATATGATGTTGCGGGAAAAACACGCGCGAAACCTACAAATGCACGGGGGTGGACGACCGCACGATGGCAGGGAGGCGCGCAGGTAGCTCGAAGGAGTAGCAGCACGACTCCCGGAGGAGGGAAAGGTACTCATGCTCCAAGTCTCTCAGTAAGCGTGGGGGGTGGATCGCGGGGGGGGGATGGGAAACCGCTGTCCTTCGGGGGGCGTGGGGAGGTCAGGAGGAGGAGGAGGGGAGGAGGAGGAGGAGAGGAGGAGGAGAGGAGGAGGAGGAGGAGGGGAGGAGGACAAGCTAGGTGCGCTCGCGTCATATCTGACATCCTACCCCTCCCTCCCATCCCTTACCATGGCGCAGATCCCCTCTCTACTCGCACAGTCGGATGTCGAGCAGGGCAATGATCCCGAAAGGGTACGCGATGCATTGTAGAGCACGGCGTGGCATGGCGTAGACGAGCACCGCGAAGCGTAGTATTAACCTAGCATTGCATTGCATGCCGTGGCATGGCACGGGAAATGATGCCAGCGCTGCAGCGGGAGCACGAGTCGAAACGAGCGGAAGCGCGGAAATGAGGCCAGCGATGCAACGGTAGCGGGAGCACGATTCGGAACGAGCGGAAGCACGCCAGAATCGGCGGGGGAGGCTTCCCGGGCGCCAGAAGCAGAAAATCAGCATTTTCAAAAGAAAAATGTGTATTAGAATGGCCTCTTGTCGGCGCCGCCTCGGAACTCCATTTTCCCGGGGCGGCCGGAACCGGCTGCGGACCCGGCCCGGGCGCCGGCCCAGGCGCTGGCTCAGGCGTCTGGCCCGGGCGCCGGCTCGGGCGGCAGCCCGGGCGTCGGAATCGGCCCGGGAGGCGGGCGCCGGAAGCAGAAATTTAGCATTTTCGAAACAAAGATGCGTATTAGAATGGCCTCTTTGCGGCGCCGCCTCGGAACTCGATTTTCCGGCGCCGGCCGGACACGGCTCCGGACCTGGCCTGCCCGGGCGCCGGCCCGGGCGCCGGCTCGGGCGTCTGGCCCAGGCGCCGGCTCGGGCGCTGGCCCGGGCGTCGAAATCGGCCCAGGAGGCCTCCCGGGCGCCAGAAGCAGAAATTGAGCATGTTCAAAAGAAAAATGTGTATTAGAATGGCCTTTTTTCGGCGCCGCCTCGGAACTCCATTTTCCCGGGGCGACCGGAACCGGCTCCGGACCCGGCGGCCCGAGAGCCGGCCCGGGCGCTGGCTCGGGCGTGCAGCCCAGGCGCCAGCGAAAATGAGGCACCGCTGCAGCGGGAGCACGATTCGGAACGAGCGGGGCCCGAAAATGAGGCCGGCGCCTCGGCGAGACCAGCATTTTGAAAAAAATGCAAGCGAAAACCCAACTACGGGGAAACCTGCGTCTAAAAAACAGTACGCGGGGGGGGGTCGGCTACTTCCATTCCGTCATCAGGGGAAGAGGGAGAGTAGTATTCATATTGAGTAATTGTGGGGGAAAGGAGGAGGAGGAGGAGGAGGAGGAGGAGGAGGAGGAGGAGGAGGAGGAGGAGGAGGAGGAGGAGGAGGAGGAGGAGGAGGAGGAGGAGGAGGAGGAGGAGGAGGAGGAGGAGGAGGAGGAGGAGGAGGAGGAGGAGGAGGAGGAGGAGCGAGAGGGGGTGGGCTTGGGCGCGGGGGGGGGGCGGGCAAAGGGCGTCGGACAGGTATGCACGGGGGGTCGCGCTTATTGAAGGATCTGGAGAGGACCTTCCTTCCGACCCGAACCTCGCTTCGGATCTGGAGGAGGGGGAGGAGGAGGGGGAGAGGAGGAGGAGGAGGAGGAGGAGGAGGAGGAGGAGGAGGAGGAGGAGGGAAGAGGAGGAGGAGGAGAAGGAGGAGGAGAAGGAGGAGGGGGAGGAGGAGGAGGAGGGAGGAGGAGATGAGGAGGAGGAGGAGGAGGGGAGGAGGAGGAGGAGGAGGATGAGGAGGAGGGAGGAGGAGGAGGAGGAGGAGGAGATATGGGGGTGCCGAGGGCCTGGCTCTCGCGCAGACCTCTGCAGGAGAAGAAGAAGAAGAAGAAGAAGAAGAAGAAGAAGAAAAAGAAGCGCCGTGAGCAGAAACTGTTGGCGCTCCGTTCGGTTTTATAGGATCCGCACCGACCCCCCCCCCTGGCGCGCGGAGCGCGCCAGGGGCGGCGCCGGAGGCGCCGCGGGGGGGGCCCAGCGCGGATCCAAGGAGTCCGCGCGGAGCGCCAACAGTGTATGTTTAGGTCGTTCTCACACAGACGCCCTCCGACGAACGTTGCCTGTGCATTCGGGGAGGGCGGCGGTGTGCATAAAGCCGCTGGCCTTCAGTGGTGACTCATACACCGCCACCCTCCCCTGAGGCCCAGGAACAATCCATTGCAGGGTGTCTGTGTATACATTTGTGGCGGAGGAGAGGAGGGAGGGTCGGAGAGGGGGAAGGGGGGGGGGGAGCTGGGGTGGGCAAGCCAGGCGCGCTAGCGTCACATCTGACGTTCTACCCCTCCCTTCCATCCCTTACCATGGCGTAGATCTCCTATCTCTTCGTACAGTCGGAAAATCGGATGTCGAGCAGGGCAATGATCCAAAGAGGGCACGCGATGGATGGAAAATCATCGCGTAGAAGAGCACGGCAGAGCATAGCATGTCATAGCATGGCGTGGCATTGCGTAGTAAAGCATTGCATCACAAAGCCTAGCAAAACAAAGCAAGGCATCGCACAACGGTGCACGACACAGCATCGCATTGCATGCATTGGCATGGCACCAGATACAGATGACTTGCAAGTGGCCCGTCTACGAGAGGACAGAGCCTGTCTGCAATGTCGGCTCCATGTCCTCCGCAACCGTGACTGCCCGATATGGACGCTTTCGAAAGCCAAGTGCCGTCCGGAGGCGCGGGAACGAAGCAAGCGCTGCAGCCGGAGCAAGATTTTGAATGACCGAAGCGTGGAAATGAGGGCGGCGCTGCAACCAAACAAGTGATGAAATTCTGTTTTAAAAGAAAAATGCGCGGAGAGGCTGGGACACTCTCTGGACAGAGTCAGGGGAGAGAGGGGAGTAGAATTCATATTGTGTACTTGCGGAGGGAGGGACGGGAGGAGACGAGAGGGGGGGGCGGGAGGGGAGGGGAGGGGAAGGAGGCGGGGTGGGAGAGCGAGGGAGGAGATAAAGGAGAAGGGAGAAGGGAGAAGGCGACGACGAGGAGGAAAAAGAGAAAGGGGGGGATGAGGAGGGGGAGGGATGAGGAGGAGGAGGAGGAAGAGAAAGAGAAGGAGAAAGGAGGAAGAGGACGGGGACGAAGCTGGGCTGAGCTACGCCTTGGGGCCCTGTGGCAAGAGCAAGCTCAAAAGCTCAAGCCCCCTCTGCACGCGTCGATTCGCGTCGGGCTTCAAAGCGCTCGAAAACAGCACCTGGCAACTTCGGAGAGAGCGAGTTTCACGGGCGCTTGGCTTGGGAACATTCGGCGGCGCGTTTCGAACTGGGGCGTGGCCCCCCCCCTGAAAACCCTCGGGGCCGCCCATCAGATACGGGGGGACTCCCCTCCCCCCCCCTCCAAACCCCCCCCACTTCCCAAGGGGGGGGTGGGGTTCAACCCCCCACCCATCGTCGCCAGCGCCGGCGCCAGCGCTGGCGGCCGCCAGCAGCGCCGACGGCGGGGACGCAGCGACGACAAGGTGGGGGATGGAGGTTCCAAACCCCCCCCGCACCGGCGCCGGCGCCGGCGCTGGCGGCGGCGACGGCGGGGACGCAGCGACGATTACCACCACTACCACCACCACCACTACCACCACCACTAACCCACCACACAACATCACAACCACCACCACAGCCAACACCACCACCACATCAACCACCACCACAACTCACCACCACCACCACAAAAAAAAAACCCACCACCACTACCACCACCACCACAATCAACCACACAACCACGACCACCGCCACAACCACCACCATTACCAGCCAGCAGCACAACCCACAATCACCACCACCACCACCACAACCCACCACACCACCACCACCACCACCACCAACAGCACCACCACCTCTACAAACCACCGCCACCACCACCACCACCATAACCACCACCACCACCATAAACAACCACCACACCACCACAATCCACCACACCACCAACAACACCACCACCACCCACCACCACAACCACCACCACAACAAACCACCACACCACCACCACCACCACAACCACCACCACCGCCACAACCAACACAACCCACCAATACCACAACACCAACACAAACCACCACACCACCACCACCACCACCACCACCGCAACCACCATCACCACCAACAACCACCACCACAACCACCACCACCGCAACAAACCGCCACCACCACAACCACCACCACCACCACAATCACCACAACCCACCACCACCACCACAACCACTACCACCACCACAACCACCACGACAAACCACAACACCACCACCGCCACCGCCACCACTACCTTAACCCACCACCGCCACAACCACCACCACCACCACCACCAGAAACCACCGCACCACCACCAGCACCACCACCGCCAACATCACCACCACCACCACCACAACCACCACAACAACCACCACCACCAACCACACCACCACCACCATCACCACCACCATCACCAACACCACCACCACCACAACCACCACAGCCCACTACCACCACCACAACCACCACGACAAACCACCATACCATCACCGCCACCGCCACCACCAACTGAACCCACCACCGCAACAACTACCACCACCACCACCACCAGAAACCACCGCACCACCACCACCACCACCACCGCCAACATCACCATCACCACCACCACAACCTGCCACCACAACCACCACAACAACCACCACCACCAACCACACCACCACCACCACCACAACCAC